GGAAAGCCAGCAGCAAAAGCTTAGCAGCCCAGGATAGGGTAGGGGGAAATGGGTTGCAAAAGGGACAGGGGGAGGAGAGAGCTTGGGGATGGGTAAGGGAGGGACTATTTTCTTCAATGCACATGTGTTTTCTCCCCCAGCCCCTAACCCCCAAGTCCCCAGTTTTCCCCTCTAAAGGAGTAAACAGTAGGGCTGTGAGAAATTTCACCGGCAGTTTCATTTCGATGCTGTTTCGAGCTCAAAACAGCAAAATCGAAACAAAACAGAGAGCTTTGAAATAGCCTTGAAATGAAACGAGGCAAATTGAAACATTTTGAAATTTTCAAAACACTTCGAGTTTTGAAGCTCAAGATGGGCTTGCATGCAGGGACCTGGTGGAGAATCACTGCTCTATACTAAACCTGCTCCTGGCCTCTGCTAAAGGGATCATGTTAAGAGCATGCCAGAAAGGAGAAGGGTAGTATCACTGAGCACACCACACTGCCACATTACCAAGAATGCAGCAACTGAAAATCAGCTCCCATATGTCCCGGCTCTGTTTTGCCAGCACTCCCCTGCTGGCCCTTAAAAGACCCCTCTTCAAGAATTACGTGTTTGTGACTAATCTGAAACAGTGTTAGCAAGCACATATCAGTAGTAACAGCTGTGACATCTGCAGATATTGTTCAAGTCCAAAGCACTTCTTTTCAGCTGCTGGCACTTCCTGATTTCAGATGAGTTAAAGCAGACCTGGGGCCTTTGGGCTCCGTGTCTTTTTTTCCCCCTTTTTTATTGTTAATCTTGGGCCTTATCAGACTGTTTGTTGACTTGTTCATTTTCTCCTGGGGGCTCTTTCTGAGGAATTGTATCCTCCTTTCCTGTTCTGAACTGTCATAGTACAAGATTTTCTAAGGTGGCTTGAAAAGAGAGAAACTGAAAGCCCCCAGACTACAGCTGATTAAGCAAGTAGGTTGAAAATGCACCAGACGTGCTCTCAGTCAAGATGCTGTGGTCTGACAAGGTAACAAGGCATGCATGAGCCTGGAAGCCCTAATTCCTAAGCTTGTGTGTCCATAACAACCAGGGCTCTTGGCTTTGGGGCAGCCAACTTGATGGTGAGCTTGCAAGCCAGAGCATTCCCTGGCTCCTAGGAGCCAGCCTGACAAGCTGCCTATAGGGTTTGAATTACACTTTGACTCCGGGTGGGGGTCTGCAGCAGTGGCAGCCAGAAGGAGCTGCCGCCACGTGGGCTGCTTAGAAAGGCGCGGCATGGCCCAGGGGCTTACCGACCCATGGAGAGGTTCTTGTCCCTTATGCGGGGGGCTCAACTCCCCCCAAACTCTCCCATAATTCGTGCCCTGGCTGCCTAGATAACCAGTTTCCTGCCCTACTCTCCCATGGTCAGCCTAGAGACTCCTGCCACCTCAATAGCAGCATAATAACTTCCCTTACCACTGTGTCCCTTTCTGTGCTTACCCTGGAAGTCCTCCACCCCAAACCTCTGAGCAGTGCTAGAAGCAGCAGCACAGATATGCTCCCACACTGGAGTGCTCCCTTTCGTGGCCAAGTCCAAGGTTTGAGGTTTTAAATTCTTCTTCAATCTGAATCGGAAGGAAATGCTTGGAGTTTCTCACAGGGTAGATATTCCATATTTTTAGCTATCTTAATACCCTGAGTTAATGGCTATCAATTAACCCAAGGTAAAATTTTAATATAGGCAAACTCTACATATGTTATAACTTCTTATAGCAATATTTGCACATAAAATGATTACAAGTAACACCTCAGTAACATTTAAGGCAAATATTTTTTCTCTTTCTTTAATAGGTAATAGCTTCTATTAAGGCAGAACTACTAAAAACTCATGAATCCATCAAAGATCTTCACAATGAAAAAAGGTAAGTTCATTAATGAACGTCAAAACTGAAGCTTGGTAGACATTATTGATCAAGATAGACCTTGGTAAGAAGTGGTTTTTATTGTGGGAACTATTAAGAATAGGAATTTCATCTCATCTAAAATACACAAAATGTAGAAATGTTGCTTTTTCTTGGACAAATTGATCATTCAGGAGAAAATTATGATCTGGGTCCTTTAACAGGTTTTATTTTGGAATTTTAGGCCAAATTTTCTGCTGGCCAAAATGATCAGGGTTCCATTTAAGTAAGTGTAGCCACTCCAATTCCTAACAATGGAGACTTGGCCTAACATGTAGTGGCAACTAGTTCAAGTATCTTGCTATAGTGCCACAGGAGTGAATTCAAGTATTGCTCTGTATTTGTCAAAGGGTGCCCTCATTTGACTGAGGTATAAGTAAAGTTATTTGCAGTGGCTTGGAGAGCAAGTGGCCAGATGGAAATGCTAGCCACATAACTTTCTTGTTTGTCTTAATTGTGCCAGCCTAATGAGCCTTCTAGGCATAGGTAGACCATGACTGGCTGATATGCTGCAGCAATAGACATAATATATTATTGTTAAATGCAGCCTATTATAATCATGGTCTTTTATCTTCTTTTCATGTTCTCAAGAGCAGGACCAGAGGGGCTTCATTAATATGTATTGTCACTTGTTAGGAACCCAGAAATAGATGGAATCTTCGGAGTTACCA